CCTTGAGTTTAGGGACTGTCTGTTGATTCTTTTTGTATCCCTGGCACTTAGAGCAGTACCAAGCACAAAGCAGGCACTTAATAAATGTTTATTGTACAGGACTGGCTCCTTCCCTACTGCCTACAAACATGTTCATGTCTCCCCTATCCTGAAAAATCAACTCACTTGATCTATCTTTCCATCCCAGATAACTATGGTCCTACTATATCTCTTCAGCCCTTTGTAGCTAAATTCCTCAAAAAAGCCTTCTACAATAGGTGCCTCCACTTTCTGTCTTCCCATTCTCTCCTTAACTCTTTATAATCTGGTTTCCAACTTTATCATTCCAACAAAACTGTTCTCTCCAAAGTTGCTAGTGACCTCTTAGTTGCCAAATCCAAAGGCCTTTTCACAATCCTCATTCTCTTTGACCTCTCTGTATCTTTTGACACTGTTGATGACTCTCTCCTCCTTGGTACTCTCTACTCTCTAGGTTTTTAGGACACCATTCTCTCCTGATTCTCCTCCTACCTATCTGACCACTCCTTCTGTCTCCTTTGCTGGATCCTCCTCCAGATCACATCCTCTAACCAGAGCGGTCCCTCAGGGCCCTCTTCTCTTATTCCTCCATACTACTTCATTTGGCAAACTCATTGGCTCTCATGGATATAACTACCATCTTAATGCTGACAATTGTCAAATCTACCTTTCCTGCCCCAATCTCCCTCCTGACCTCCAAACTCCCATCTCCAACTGCCTTTCAGACATCTCAAACTGCATGTCCCGAAGACATCTTAAACTCAGTAGGTCCAAAACACAATTAATTTTCTTTCCCCTTAAACCCTCCCCCCATATATAAACCTTATAAACCCTACCTTCCCTATTACTGTAGTGGGCAACACCATCCTCCCAGTCCCCGAGACCTCAGGGTCTCAACCTAGGAGTCACCTTGGACTCCTCACTATCTCTCACCCCCTTATCCAAGCTGTTACAGAGGCCTGCCAATTTCACCTTTGCAACATCACTGGAATAAGCCCCCTTCTTTCCTCTGACACCGATACCAGTCTGGTACAGGCACTCATCATCTCATGCCTTGATTACTGCAAGAGCCTGCTGCTGGATCTGCCCACCTCAAGTTTCCCCCCACTCTAATCCATCCTTAAGTCAGCCACTAAAGTGATTTTCCTAAAATACAGGTCTAATGATGTCACACACACACAGCGACTCAATAAATTCCAGTGGCTCCCTATTACCTCCATGATCAAAAATAAAATGCTGTTTGACTTTCTTTTTATTTATTTTTTATTTTTAGTCAATTGGGGTTAAGTGACTTGGCCAGGGTCACACAGCTAGGACGTGTCAAGTGTTTGGTCTGAGGTCGAATTTGAACTCAGGTCCTCCTGACTTCAGAGCCAGTGCTCTAGCCACTGTGCCATCTAGCTGCCCCGCTGTTTGACTTTCAAAGCCCTGTCATAACCTAGGCTCCTCCCTACTTTTCCAGTGTTCTTACATACCTTACTCCCAAGAGGTACCAACAAGAACCAAAGATCTAAGCAAGAGCCAAGATCTCTTGGCTTTGGGCATTTTCTCTGGCTACTCCCCCAAGCCCAAAACGCTCTCCTTCCTCTATTCTGACTACAAGCATGCAGGTTTGGTTCCAGACTTCTGCAATAAAGCAAATATTGCAATAAATCAAGTCACATGAATTTTTTTGCTTCCCAGGGCATATAAAAGTTATGTATACACTACACTGTAGTCTATTAAGTGTATAATGGTATTAGGTCTAAAAAAATATATATATACCTTAATTAAAAAATACTTTATTGCTAAAAAATGTAACCATCATCTGAGCCTTCTGTGAATAGTGCTGGTGGAGGTTCTTGCCTCCATGTTGATGGCTGCTGCTGGATAAGGGTGGTTATTTGCTGGAGGTTGGGGTGGCTGTGGTAATTTCTTAAAATAAGACAACAATGAAGTTTGCAGCATCGATTAACTCTCCCTTTCCCTTGAATACTTAAGAGGCCTTTTAGGGGTATCAACTGGCTTAATTCCAATACTGTCCTATCTCAGGGAAAAGGCAGGCCTGAGGAGGAGAGAGTCAGAGAAGGGCCCATGGGTGGAGCAGTCAGAACAAACACAACACTTAGGATTAAGTTCACCATCTTATATGAACACAGTTAGTGGCACCCCAAAAAACAGATCACCATAACCGATAAAATAATAATAAAAAACTTTGAGATACTGTAAGATTTACCAAAATGTGAATTGGAAAAAATGGCACCAATCGACTTGCTCTACGTAGGTTTGCGCAAACCTTCAATTTGTAAAAAACAAACAAATCAAAAAAAAAAAACAAACCACCCAATATCTGCGAAGCTCAATAAAAAAAAAGTATGCCTATACTGACCTCCCTAGCTTATATATATGTGTGTATAGATGTGTATATATATATATACACACACGTGTATGTATGTATAGATATAGGTGTGTATGTGTGTATAGATGCGTATATATATACATATTTTGTGTGTATATGTATATGTATGTATACACACACACACACACACACACACACACACGTGTGTGTATACATCAAAAAATGATAAGAATGACAGAGTTGTAGGAACCTGGGTTTGAATCTTGGCTCTAATGCTCACATGCTATATGACCTAACATCAATTTTTTCAGCTTTATGATGGGAAGTATAACATCTGGGGGGAAGGGAAAGGAATAAGCATTTACATAGCATCTACTATGGTCCAGCCACTGTGCTAAGTGCTTTTAAAAAACAAACAAATGAGTATTATCTCATTTGATTCTCACAACAACCCTGGGAGGGGTGCGCAATCATTATTATCCCCATTTTACAGCTAAGGAAACTGAGGCAATTAGAGGTTAAGGAACTTGCCCCTGGGGTCACACAGCTAGTAGATGTATAAGACCAGATTTGAACTCAGACATGTTCCTGATTCCAGGCCCAGCATTCCATCTACTGTGCCAACAGCTGCCTTATTTTGCATTATATTTTCTTTTTTTTTTTTTGGCAATTGGGATTAAGCGACTTGGCCAGGGTCACACTGCTAGTAAGTGTCAAGTGTTGGTCTGAGGCCGGATTTGAACTCAGGTCCTTCTGACTTCAGGGCCAGTGCTCTATCCACTGCGCCACCTAGCTGCCCCCAGATTTAAAGCAAGACTGTGCACTTTTTTTATTTTTAGGCAATTGGTGTTAAGTGACTTGCCCAGGGTCACACAGCTAGTAAGTGTCAAGTGTTTGGACTGAGGCTGGATATGAACTCAGGTCTCCTGACTTCAGGGCCAGTGCTCTACCCACTGTACCACCTAGCTGCCCCTTGCACTATATTTTCTTACAAGGCTGTGATGAGAAAAGCATTTTGTGAACCTTAAAGTAATATCGAAATATGAGTTATTACTATTTGAGGAGAAAAACCCTCAAAATAAATCAGCATTTTAAGATATTATAGGGACTGGCTATGATGGAAACCCAAACAACGATGAGCTATGAGGATGATCAAGGTTATCCCACACAATAAAAAACTCACTAGGTCAAGATGAAAAACATATTCCTATGCGGGAGATTAAATAGATTTGAACAAGATTATCTGTGACTATTTCTGAACAGAAGTTGTGCAGGCAGTGTCAGAAAATGCTAAGTCCAGGAATTTCAGTATCTGCCTCTGAAAAGAAAGACAGGAGAGTGTTAGAAATGGCCTCTCCTCGGGAGAACTGACTCCCCAATCCACAACCATCATCCTTCTACTCTACAAGCCTGGAAGCCATCATAAATGCTTCTTTCCATAGATGGTTCCTCTCCAAGGAAAGCAGTTTGTCCTGTGCCTCACATACCTAACATAATTTTTATATCTCAACTCAATCTTTACTGCAATGCCAGTCTGTTTCCTTCTATAACACCTAATGTCCTAGCCACTGGGCCCTTAATTGCTAACTCTACCAGTTGCAACTTTATTTAAAAAAAAAGGCATAAAAAACCCCTATACCTGCAAGACATTTTTCTTCCATAGAAACCTATCCTAGGATGTAGGTCTCACAAAAAGCCCAACACCATGGTCCTTACCCAGTGACAGCAGGTTCCTGTAGTTCTCCTGCATAACATCCCTGTAGAGGGCTCTTTACCCAGAGTCTAGCTGCCCTCATTCCCCTTCTTGGGTAAGGTATATGGCCACATTCTCAAAAGCCACTGCCATGGGCCTTGTTCCTGGCTTGGAGAAAGGAGGAAGGGAAGGGAGAGAAGTGGAACAGGGAAACTGCCTAAATATGGGCAATCTAAGCATCAAGTTTATACTTCAGAGCAACCTTCTTTGTGTCATGAATGCCTTTGGTAGTCAGATGAAGCACTATGGACCCCTTCTCAGAATAATGTTTTTAAATGCATAAAATAAGTAGCTTTACAAAGGAAACCAATTATATTGAAACTGGTTATAAAAATACTAAGTATCAGGGACCCCAGGTTAAGAAATCCTGTATTACTGGGTGGGAGGATCCTAAAAGCAAGCCCAGGAGGCCAGGGACAGACCTGGAGTTACTGCTTCATGGATCCACTCTTACCCCCAAAGAGTTTTCCACCTGTGACTCCCTCCAATATCCTATCCCTTTCTTCCCAACACCCAGGTCTCCAAAATCCCCACTCCTTCACCTCTCTCTTCCTCACAACTCCATTTCCTATCCCTTCTTCTCCCCACACCTCCCTTCCCACCTCACTCTCTTTCCCCTTCACTTCTCATCCTTTTCCCCTCTCCCTTCCCGCCCCTTTTCCTTCCCTACTTCACTTCCCATCCTTTCTCCCCATCATTTCCTATCCCTTCTCCTCTCCCCTACCTTCCCAATCCTTTTCCCCAACTCATTTCCCATTCTTTCTCTGCCCCCATTTCCTATCCCTTCCCCTCACTTTCATTGCTTTCTCCTCCCCCTCCAGACTCCGCTCCCTCCGCCCCGCCCCCACTTCCGTCTAAACATCCGGTCCCAGCACGCTCTAACCCCGCCCCCTTCTCCCCCGCGCAGATGCTTCACGGCTCGCGAGCTCCACTCAGGTGAGGCCCGAAGTCCCAGGATCCTCGGGCCCGCTCTCACCGCTCGGGGTCCGGACACAGGGTAGCGGCTCCAGCCGGCCGGCGCATTTAGCCACGGGCGGGCACTTCCCGCAGAGTCACTTCTCTGAAAAGGGGCCGCCCACGTCCCGCCTCACAGGCCCCAGGCTCCACCCCGGCGAGCGGGGGGGGGGGCGGGGCCGCCCCTCCTCCAGCCTTGGCGTGAGCAGCTCCCGGCACTGCTGCGAGGGGGCGGGGCGGGGCGGGGCGGCGCGGCCGAGGCCGAAGAGCTTCGTCCTAAGAGGGAGGAGTTCAGGTTGGGCCCAGCCCAACTCCAGCTCCGGCCTGCAGCCCCTCCCCTCCGGGGTGAGAGCGCGTATTTGAATCAACCATAGATAGCCCTACGGAAACTGAGAGGGGAAACTGAAGCTCTGAGCGTTACTTAAGAGTGATTTTCCAAGAGGGACATAGCTCTAAGTCTCATGCAATTTCATAGGATCATAAATTTGAAGATGGAAGGGACCTTACAAAGGCATGCAGTAGGATATTTACAGATGAGGAAATTGATTCCTGGAGAAGTTGCCTAAAGTCACATTGATAGGGAGTGGCAAAGCCACACAAAGTGGAAATTTATATTTGTCTTATCATTCCCCATCTTTCTACAGTACTGTACTTCCTTAGAGGGACGGGGAGGGGGACTAGACCGGGACCTTTGAAAAAGAGACATTTGAAAGTCAACATCCTCAACTGAGCACCCCTGTAATTAAACCGGGAGACCCTAGGAAAGCCAGGCAGGCCAGGGATGCAGTAGAGAGGCTTGGGAATTAATTTACTGGGTGAGTGACACAGCAAAACACCAAAGTATTGAAATCAACTGTATCATAACTACCTTTACTCTTTCTCTTCCAAGCAAAAGTTTTCTCTCTTAACTACCCTAACCCCCATCTCAGTTTTACTTTTCTTACGTGTTTTGGGGTTAAGGGGATCATTAAAAGTAAATTTCCTTAGCCCTAGATCTCTTGTTTGCCTACTAGGGGCCAGTCATCCAGTAGAAGGAGACAATGGTATCTTGCCTGCAATTAACTTAGGAGAAACTAGAACTAAATAGATAAATAACTAGTAGGTGCAATGACAATAGATAATTAATCAAGGAGATAGTTTGATTTGGCAATAAATGTCACAGATGGTGTATGACTAATTAGTGAAGGAGTGGTATAAACCAGTGTCAAGAAAAGAGGGTGACAGGTGGAATTGTTCACATGCACACCCATGAAAAACTCATGCATATCCAACACTTGAAAATCAGTCTGCTCTATATGGCACTGTAGAAATCCCTTTTCCTCACTACTGGCTCTTATCCTAATAACTGGAACATTAAGGGTTAAAGCTCTGAAGACCCTCTAAGTACCTGGATGGGACTAGAGAAGGGAACTTCCTGTCCGAGTTCCCATGTGTTCTCTCCTCTCAGAACTGCCCCTGGGTGGAAGTGGCAGGATCTTGGTCCTTGGAACCCCACCGAAGAGAAATCCTACAGGGGAGGAAAACCCCATCTCTGCCTCCTCCCAACCCCAACCAAGTGCTGCCCTGTAGAAAGGTGAGTCTGAGGGACTAAGGGTGTGGGCTTGACCTGAGATGTACCAGAGTGGTTGGAGAAAAGGAAGGGAGAAGGGAATAGGATGGGAGTAGGGATGAGAAGAATTTGTCTCAAACAAGATTGGAAAGGAGCATGGATTTAGGGGTGTCCACATGCTATAGTAGCTACTCGGCACTCTCCCTTTTGCAAGCCTGCTCTAGGACAGTATGGAAAAAGCCAGCAGCTCAGCAGCTGAAACTTATATGAAATGGACTTGTAGTTTCTGGGTTTCTTGATTAGTCCTAAGTAAGCTTTTATCTTCCACAAATTTTGTAAGGCTCTATGAAACTATTCCCTGCCAAGCTCTATAATGCTCTGTGCATCTGTTCCCTAGAGATGGTGGAATATAGGCTTATGCACCAAGTAATTTTCTCCTTTTTCAACTCACACACTGCCCTCTACCTTCCTTTTTCTCCTCTCTGCCACCGCCTCCTCATCATCCAACACATGCATACCTCAGCCCTGCTCTGAGGGACCCTTTGGAACTCCTGAGAAGGAAAACCTATCACATATACCTTTGAAGTCCTGATCCAACTGTTCTCTTTGACAAACCTGAACCTCTTATTCTTATGATAAGCAATGAATGGTAAGGTGGCAAATTATTCTGGACTTAAGAATCAGAACAGGAGACCTAAGTTCTATTCCCCATTCTTTCTTTCTCCCTATTTGACCTTGGATAAGTCTCCCCCCTTGGATACATCTATAAAATGAGAGAATTGGACTAAGATGGTCTTTAAGAATCCTCCTAGTTCTGATTAGTCTGAGCAGGGTCTGTTTCAGACAAAATTGTGAAGCATGGAAAGTGTATTTGTAGAGTTCCTTCTCCTGGACGTCTGTTGTACGAAGCCCATATTTTCTGATCCAGAGATGATTCTGTGCTCCCCTCCCCCACTCAAATTATGTTTCATCTTATGATTAGTGACACCCAAAGTTTCAGAGATGAATAGTTAATGAAATTAACTTGTTCTGGTGAGACTCCTGGAAAACCAGGCTTTTCCCTCAGGTAACACAGGTTCAGGTTCTTTGACCTTGCTACTAAGTAATGGTATAACCTTGAACTATTTCTTTTTCCTGTTAATGGTATCAGTTACCTCCTCTGGGAAATAAGAAACCAGATGATATCCAAAATCCCTTTTAGCTTTTATGTTTCAATGTGGATTATGAACATTGTACCTCTCATTTCATTTTCACATCTTACCAGTATTGCCATAATTGTGTTACTTATTCCCATACACATTCATTTAATAGACTGCAAACTATGTGGGCAAGGACCTCATGGTACACAAAAATAACAAAACACTTTTAGTCTTCCACATTTCTTTTGTGGTATTTAGCACGTAGTAAGTACTTGCTTAATAAAAATTTGTTGAAATGAGCATGGTCAAGTCCATGGGTTAGGCTCAAATCGACATAACTTGTGATTCAATCAGTCATACTTAGAGTGCTATTTATCTGTGGTAGCCAGTCTTTGGCTCACACCCCATCCAAGAAACATCTATCTTCACAATCTCAAATGTGGTATTAGTAGGGAAATCCACTCCCTGAATAGGGGAGCTATGTCTTTCATCAAAACCTCATGCCTCAATCTTGTCAGCTTGGCAAAGCCCCTCCCTAGTCGTATATTCTGCATATCTTACTCCCTTGCTAGATGAAGAGCTCAATAAGAGCAGGAACGGAGTCGTACCTAGCAGAATTTTATACCTGCCCAGCTGAGACAAGACCCTGCATACTGTAAGCTTTTGAGAAGTATTTGTTGTCACATAAATTTAAAGTTGGGATTCAAGGCTAGTGGAAAGTAAACTGTAGTCACTGTGGCCGTTTTTGTCTTTGTACCCCCAGAACCTAGCATAAAGCCTGGAACATAGTACCTTCTGTCCCATAGAAACTGACATCATGACATTAATAGTTGGAATTTGAGGCTTGAGAGGCAGGCTGTGGTAGGAAACATTTTTCATGAGTTGCCCCAGAAATTATACCTTGATTTGTGTATCAGATTAGTGATGTAGAAAATATGTTTTTTAAAAAAAAAAACAAACTTCTGGAGAGGCTGACCTAGAGAAGGCCACTATGGTGCCATATTTCCTTAGCATTTTAGGCTTTTAGAGCTGGGAACTACCTTGTACGTAATCTAGTAGAGGCATCTCAAATCCAAGATATCTTATGTTACCAGTTTCCCTTTGTTCAAATAATAATTGCTAGCTTTTATATCATGCTGTAAGGTTTGCAAAACATTTTACATGGTATCTCATTTGATCCTTACAACAACCCTGTTAGGTGCTATTATTATCCCTGTTGTACAAGCAAACAGTGGTTAAATGACTTGCCCAGGGTCACAGAGCTAGTAAGTGTCATAGAAAGGATTTTGATTCAAGGCTTTCTGCCTCCAAATCCATCTACCTTGTTACCTGGCTGCCATCATCAACATGTAATCAGACTGATCAGACTTTGCTAATGGCTGAGAACTGTAAGTTAACTCAGACTTAACATGGTTTGTTTTTTTTGTTGTTTTTTTTTTTCAAAACCACAGTGGAATGAGTAATAGAAATATCATGATGCTCATTTTATGCTTGGGGAAACAGGCTTAGAAAGATGATTTGCCCACAGACTTGTAGTTAGGAAGTATCAAAGCATAGATTTGAACCTGAATCTCCTGCTGCTTCTATAAACAAAACAAAACCAAAGTGCAATTTTGAGAAAACTCAGCTAATCTATCCTCCTTCCTCCATTTTACAGAAGTCCTAGGGAAAAGAAGCTAACTATGATTACATAGCTTCCTAGAAAGCAGAGCCAAGATTAGAATCCAGTTCCCTCATTCCAATTCCCTTTCCAATTTCCAGTAATAATAGTACATATTTTTATAGCATTTCATAGGTTGCAAAACATTTTCCTCTCAAAAACCCTGTGAGGCAGAATGCACAAGTATTATCTATCCCCATTTCACATGTATATATGTAAAAGCAGAATCATGGAATACCATCTGGATTCAAATCCATGTCTTCTGACCACATCGTTCAGTGTTATTTCCACTACATTAGAACAGAGTTAGGAAATGCATGGTATCCATTCATCCTCTACAAAGTCCTAAATGTAAGGAAGGCTGTTTCTGCCTGGCAAACTGTAAGCCATGCCTTAGAACTGAAATAATGGACCTCCCTTCCCAATTCTTTGCCCTTTGTCTTCTCAGAAGTAGATGATGCTAACTAACATTGGTCAGGAATTTTGGAAGAGACTGGAAAATAGGGGGCTTTGGAATTATTAGCTGGCAGTGCAGATGGGCAAAGTAGAAGAAAGGGAGTTGGCCGGTGGAAGGAAAGTTAGCCCAATTATGTGATCTGTATGAGAAGGATGAAATGACCTTGGTTGGAGCTAGAAGCATACAAAGATAGCAGTGCGGAGAACCTCCTTCTTCTTCTCTAAAGGGTGGTCTCCAAGGGAAGTGAAAACCAATCTTAACTAACTGCAAGAGGTGACTAGGACATATCGCTAATTCAATGACCCCCTCCCCCAATACTCTTTTTATGCATTGCTCCAACAAAGCTCAGGACAGTAGATAATAAGGCTTTAGAATGGGGAGCTTAAAGGTCATTTAATGCAAACTCTTAATTTTACAAATGAGGAAACTGAGTCTGAAAGGTTAGATGACTTGCTCAAAACCACACAAGTGGTAAGTAGTCATAGGTATTTTGAACTCAGGTCTCTGACTCCAAGTTCAAGGTTCTTTACAGCCACAGTTAGTCAACTAACCATTTATTAAACATCTAATATGTGCCAGGCCTGTGCTAAGAGCTGGGGATAAGGTAAAGAAAGGCAAAAAACAGCCCTTGCTGTCGAGGAGCTCACAATCTAATGGAAAAGAAAACATGCAAACAGCTGTACGAACAAGATATATGCAGGACAAATTAAAGATAATCTCAGAGGGAAAGCATTGAGATTAAGGAAGACTGGGAAAGGCTTCCAGCAGAAGGTGGGAAGGAAACTAGAAGGCAGACATGAGCCCTTCCAAGCATAGGGCGGTCAGTTAAAACATCATTGTTCTGTTCATTTCAACTCAGTTCAGCAACACTAAGAAAATTCTCATATCTAGTTAACTGGATACTGAACCAGAACTCTGGATTTGGAGTCTAGCAATGCTACAAACACTGCACTGAAAAAAGTTGGGGTTGGAGTTGGTAAAGATGGAAAAGTTTGATACCACTTGACCACCAGAGTGTGCCTTGCAATCAGCTGCTGTGGACCTCCCAGTTATCTGAAAATTGCCTTGAGCCAGAGGTGATCAATCTTATGCAAACACCACAAGTGATGAAATGCTGAGGTCCCTGAAAACACCCAAAAACTTGGGCTCTCTTCTAAAGCAAGACTGCTCCCTTATCTCTAATGGTTTTTTTTCTGTGTATTTTTTTTAAAAGTTGTATTGATGGCTTTTGTTTTTATATAACTATCATTTTCAAATATACTCATCCTTCCACTTTATCCCATTCCCCAGTTAGCTTTCCCATGTAACAAAGGAAAAAAAATAAGCAAAACCAGCATATAAACACAAAAAACAGTTCTGAACAAGAATGCAACATTTCACATTCATAATCTCCCACCTCCACAATGATACTGTGTCTTTCTTTTAGAAGCAGCATTGCTGGGTAGAGAACTGGATTTGAAATCAGGCTAACCTGAAGTTCAGATCCCACCCCAGACACTGGAAGTCATTTGATCTTTCCGAGTCTTTCATCTGTACCTGGTGGGGGGAGGAGCAGGGAATGAGAGTAAGGGGGAGACTGTAGTGAGAATAAATTGAGATAATAAATGTAAAGTGCTTGACCAGACTTTACATTGTGAACAATTACTATTATTATGCAGTAAGACCTTAACCAAAACTGCCAGTTACCTGGAATTTATGATGGATAAACTCCCTGAAGGCCAGTGACTATTATTTTTCATCTTTGCAACCACAGAGGCCTTCCTATAGTGAGTGCTTTGTAAATGTTGGTTGAATTGGATGCTAACTGCACTATAGATCACAATATTTAGGGCTGGAAGCGATCTCAATGTTGACTTATTGTGCAAATGAAAAAAATTAAAAAGAACTGGATCAGAGAGAGGGGAATGCAGTGATAAAAATGTTACAGCCTCTGCCCTTCTATTCTAGGTTCACCTCAAAAACTGAGTAACTTGGGAGAAGGAGGGAAAAGAATCAGGAAAGTCTTCAGGTAAGAGCTTTGGAAGAAACTAAGAGTTCTTAAAAGTGAAAAGTTCTGCCCACTCTTTCCAGACTACTCACCCAGCACCTTTTCAATTCTGTTCCCTTAAAATTATGTATTCCCTTCCTAGTTCCACTCTACTCAAAGTTAAGAATTGACTTTACCTGAGTTCCTCTGATCAGATGTTAGGTAGATAAGACAGCATGGTATAATGGAAGGTCATTGGCTTTGGAGCCTGGGGACTTAGGTTCTGTTCTCAATCCTTCTACAAGCCAGCTGGACAGTTTAATAACAATAATAACTAGCATTTGTATAGCCATTTAAAAATATTATCTCATTGGATCCTCCCAACAACCATGGTTACATACATGTTATTATTATCCTCATTTTACAGCTGAGGAAACTGAGGTAAACAATGGTTGTAACTTACCCAGGGTCCTACACCTAGTAAATACTTGAAGCTGGATCTGAACTTGGGTCTTCCTATTTCTCCAGGTCAGTACTCTATCCATTTTACCACCTAGCAATGGGAAGTTTGCTTCTTCCTGGTTTCTGAAATCCTGTGTCCTACTCACTATTCATAATGCTGCCTCTAGCAGTTGGGCTAGAGCCATCTCTAAGGTCTCTCTCAGTGCCTTGCTTGTAGTAGTAGCTTTATTGCTTGTTGAATTGAACAGATTTTCAGTTTTGTGATTCTGATTCTCCAGTTTTAGTCACATCTCTCCAAGGCTTTACTGGTTTTGGATCTGTGGCCATTCTATCTAGGTCTCCAGTTTCTAATTTATCAATTGTCAAAACTCTTTTGCAATCTGAATCCGGTTTTTTATAAAACCCCCAATCCCTCCAGGCTAACCATTGTGATAACCTTTACCCATTAACTCTTAACAATTACTCTGTTAGCATATTTAAACAGTCATTTAAAGTAGATTACCCAGAAGTCTAGTGGCTGTGGGGGATTTTTCTCCTAGTCTGCCTTCTGTGTTTTTCTTGCTGATGCCGTATCCACACCCACCCCCTGGTAGAAACTTTTTTCCCCTAGGTATCCAGTTAAAGTGTGGAGAAGAGACTTGTAGATTGGACTGGATATTGGATTCCTAAAGGTTGCATTGATCTCAGCTGAAGGGAGGCTCCCCATCCACCTACCCAAGGGAATGATGTCTACAAGACCAAACCTGGCTGCCCCCCAGTCCCAAGCTCCGCTGGATCAAGATCTACCAATAGTGAAGCTTGAAGAGTTTTCTTGGGAGCAGGAATCTGTCCATGGAGGAGGTCTACCCAGACGTGAAGCCTGCCGACAGCGTTTCAGGCACTTCTGCTACCAGGAGGCAGCTGGCCCAAAGGAAGCTCTCAGCAGACTCCGGGAGCTTTGCTGCCAGTGGCTCAGGCCAGAGGCCCACACCAAAAAACAAATCCTCGAGTTGCTGGTGCTTGAGCAGTTCCTCCTTGTCCTCCCTGGAGACATTCAGGCCTGGGTGCGTGGGAAGCATCCCAAGAATGGCGATGATGTGGTGACCCTTGTGGAGAATTTGCAGACAGAGCCTAGCAAAGCACGGCCCACGGTAAGAAGAAAAGTCTGGTTTGGTTTAATAAAGACTTCATGGGAGAGTGTTAAGATTAGGCAGCCTGAGGTGGTAGAAGAGCTCTGGGCGATCCAAAACTGGGTTAGAAAAAATGGGCTCAATTCATTAACATGATTTTTAATGGGAAAATATAGAGTCCATTCATTTGGACTCAGAAATGGCTATTGCACAAATCTAGGATGCAAGAGTCTTGTGGCTGGACAAACATCAATGTAAAAAGGCACCAGAGATTTAGTAGACTGGACAGAATGAGTCAACAGTATAAAGTGGCGAAAGCCCAAAAAGCCAGCTTGAGCTTGGGCTGTATTAGGAAAAGAACATTGTCCAGAGCCAGACAGGCAAAGGCACCTCTGTGTTCTGCTTTTATCAGATCTCATCTGAAATGTGGAGTTGAGTTTGGGGAGCCATATTGTAGGAATACATTGACATTTTCTAGGCTGTAAGTTCCCTGAGGCAGGCAGCCTGCCATATCAAATCTTTATGTCTCACCTCAATGTCTGCATAGAGGAAGGACTTAAATCAATGTTGAAGGAATGGCCAGCTGGATGAAAATGCACAAGGGTCAGCTGGGATGGGTAGAGAACATGGGAGCATGACGTGAATGAGGTAGGGTTCAGCCAGAAAGGAAAAAACTCGAGGGACCTGAGTGAGAGCCAGGTGTGTCCTAGTATTTGAAACGCTGATAGATGGGAAAGAAACTAGGCTTTTTTTAGTTGCCCCCTAGAGGGTAGAATTAGGAACAACTGGTCAAGGCTCCTTGAGGCTTTTTGTTGTTGTTCTCTTGCATTCTGTCACATCTGGCTCTTGAATAACAACCTAACATACGTCTACCATTAATTCACTATGTGACCTTGAGCAAGTTGCTTCCCCTCTCTAAAATATAATTCCATTCTCTGTAAAATAGAGAGAGAATTAGCTAGATTGTTATTTACAAGAGGCTCTTCTAGCCTCTGATTTCTGAGACTGGTAGATTAGGGAGTAGTTTCCTTGGGAATGGGGTAGAGACTTTTGTCCTATTAGTGTAGCTGTTAGATAAGGAAGTTCTGTAGCCTTTTCTAGAGAGCTATCCTTACTAGGTTATGCTAGAACAAATAACTAGAGCTATAGAGTGGGGTGCAGGTGGCTGTACAAGTATAAATAAGAGTGTGTGGATGAAGCTAGCCTCGAAGAATCGGGTTCTGCTGGGTGTGACCCTTGGCAGTGACCCAGACACAGCTACTATCCTGGAATAGTAGAGGGAATTTCCTCACAGGGAAATTCCCCATGCAAATGAAATCACCAGTTGGGATTGGGGAAGTAGGGAAAGAAATATCTTAGAAAAAGGACCTTCTTTCTCTTGTTCTATTGACTTCATCATTTAATGATCTGGAAGTACATCAATTCAGCACTTTGTTCCACCTTGAAAGAAGCACAAAGATAAGGTAATATCCTTGCCCTCTAGAAGCTTACAGTCTAAAAGGGTTATATAAAATGGGCGCACAGGCAAATATACCATAGATTAGAATATGGTAAAAGTAGTATGAGAGACGGTCTGGGAATCTGGAAGACCTCGGTTCATGTTTGGCCTCAGACACATCCTGGCTGTGTCACCTTGGGTAAGTCAGTTAATCTCCTAGTGCCCCAGGAAACTCTTAAAACCAGAAGTTGCAGAGAAGGTACCAGTCTGCATTGGTAGAGGAAGTTCCTTCCAAGGAGCTTCCCACAGCAATGAAATCACAGGTCTTTGGAAGCATTGTCATCAGGTGATCCAATGAAAGGAAAGTCATTTTCAGTTGGAAGGATCTAGGAAAGCTTCATGGTGGAGGTAACATAAGAGCTGGGTCTTAAAGGATGGGTTGGTCTTCAAAAGAAGATGGAGGAAGAGTGCATCAAGAGCATTCCAGGCATCAGAGGTGGGAAAGTGTGAGAACTTGCTGGGGTCATGAGGAAATAATGTAAGATAGGCAAGAAAGGTAGGTCAGAGTCAGATTATGGAAGCCTTTGAATATTACCTAAGAAGTTTGATCTTAATTCCTTAAGCATTAAGGAGCCTTGATTTATCTAATCTTCATCCTTCCAGCTATAATGGCAACCAGTTTCTTCTGGTTTTGTCTTCAGGGATTGAGGATGCAATGTTAATCTCTCCCAATTTCCCTCCTCTCTCTGACTTTTGCTCTGTTCCTTGCTGACCTTAGGAATTTGATGAAATATTTGTTCCTTCTATTCTCATCTTTCTAGAGGTGGCATTATTTTAAGTGGATTTAGAGTTTTAACTGTCTGAGGAATGAATGACCTTTCACAAGTCTCATCCTTGTGGGTGGTTCCCAGGTCCTTGGCCACACACCCACATGGATAGTGCCTTCAGAGAAGCCAACAGCCCTGACCATTGGAGATGAGCCCCAGAAACCCCTACCAGAACCAGCCAAGCCTTCAAAGGAGGGGAAGTGGAATCTTCTAGCTCGGTCCAAGCCTAGCCTGCAAGGGGAGTTCCATCTCTACCACGAGAGAGGTGAGGAGCTGGTCTTCTCCCAGGAAGGCTGGGAGTGGTCCAAGATGAGAATGGGACACAAACATGGCAGAGAAAGGGAGTGGAAAATGGTAGTGATTAGTTTTTGCTGGGTACACGGAAGTGTCTTTTTTACACCATCAAATGTTGCCTGCCTCCCCCTGTGCCACATATGGCGTGAGGACCAACTAGTCCTGAAGAGTGAGCAGGGAAGTTGCAGGGTAAAGTTATGGACCTTTTTACAGTGTCTTTCTCCTCTCTCAGGCTCAACTGTTCCTCAAGGCCCTTCCCCTTCTCAGGAGGAGAGATCCAGAGACCTGGAGTTGGCAACTGTTCTGGTGAGCTAGGAATTTTGGATGTCCTTTTAAGATTACAGAATGACTATCCTATTGGGATCCCAAGTGGAGGAAGAAGGAGGAGTGGACGATGGAAACAGGGACATTGGGACAAGGGATAGACGGACCAGTCTCACAAAAAATTAACATTTGGGGATTTAGTTCCTCTCCCCCAAGGAGAACCATAAGTCCTTTAGACCAGTTGTGTCAATATCAAATAGAAAAGGATGCCTGCATGTACATATTGACTTAGAAAATCACATATTAACATTATCTATGTTGTATTTTTTCATTTCTTTTGTTAACTATTTCCCAATCATATTTTAGTCTGGTTCAGGCAGAGTGGCATCTCTGTTCTAGACTCTTAATGATTGCTTCCAGTGGGTTTTCTTTCCCAAACTCTTCCTCTGACCCTCTGTTCATCATTTCCTTTCTCCCAAATCTTTCCAACTCTACAACATATATTTTGCTCCTAATACTTCCAATCCCCTCTATTCTATCTACGCTGTGATTGTTCCTAGAGGAACAGGTACTGAGAAAAAAGGTGGGTGGGGGGCCCACAGGGGCCAATTGTCTTTTATCTTTGTCTCTTTCTCTTTCCTTGGGATTTCAAGGAGTCTCTGACATTTGAGGATGTCGAAGTGGAGAAAGTTTGGCCTGCGCCCCCTCTAGGTAAGATTCCTTCACCTCTGAGACTAGGAAATGTCTACTGTGCCCCATGTTGGTGGGATGGAGGGAAGGCAAGCCCCTTGACATTCCAGAACCTGTGTGCATGTACTAGAGAAGGCAGCCTAACCTACTCAGGAGCTAACATAGCATATCCTTACCTGCAGAAGGCTTGAGCAAGCTAGACTGTTGCAATTCCCTCTCATTTGGCCTTTTTAACAACTTATCCCCATGTAAATAAGCATTCCAGGAGGGAAAGGGCAACATAATTCACCAAGCATATTTTTATGCAAATAATTGTTAGGGATACAAAGAAAAACACTTTAGACTGCTTTCTGTTGGATTTTCCTTGCTCCCTAACAGGCTCCTCACTGAATCTTTAAGGCCCCGCCCTCTTGCTTGCTCACAGCTCTTCTCTGGTCCCTGCAGTACTCACAGTACCACAGTACCACCCCAGTGGGGAAGCCTTAAACTGGAATGAGGAGACTGGACAAAAGGAAGAAAATGCCTTTTGCAAACAATCAGTGATCTGACCAAGTACCCAGTCCCAACTATACTGCTAACCTATAAATTACCTACATTCTGTATTGAGAACTGCCCCAACCCTCAGCAGCCTCCTCAAAGCTCTGGGGCAGGGACAAATGGGAACCAATGTCTTATGCATGTAGGTTTTGAGAAGTAAAGACCTACTAAGTTTTGCAGACTGGGAAAAAATTACCAAAGACCAGTAGTCAAGGCTTTATTTCTGTTTTGTTTAATGTTCCATTTCCCTTAACCTAAGAAAATTTCCTTTTTGTTAATGCTCCCATGACTCAGAGAAGAGTTTTCCAGTAGAGTAAAAGTGGACTAGGAAGGGATCCAAGCCAACTGTAGCTAAGGTACTGCTGTGCTAAAAGAACCTAGAAAGAAGCAACGAAGATACAGGAAGAGGGAGGAGGTTCAGCCCTGAGTGCTGGCTAGCTAGATTCATTCATATGAAGCATTTATTTATACTCTTATTACTCCAGCCAATCCAAATAGCCATTGGAATAGCCATAAACAGAACATTCTAGCATAGGAGGTTCCAGTCAATTTGAACCTTCTGAAAGTCAATGCAATAAAAAGAACACTGCAGGAAGAGGGGGGAAACTCAGCAACCTTACAGTCCTGGGATGCTGCTGGCTTGTTGTGAGAGTGTGACCTGGGCCTCATTTTCTTATTCAGAAAAAATAAGGAGTTTTTAAGAGTCAAATGCTGTCTTAATATCTCTGATAGTTCCAAAATTCTATGGTGATTAGAAACAAAAAAAAAATGTGTAATCTCCATCAAGTGGAAATTATGCTGTTCTTTTACCAGCTTGGTTCCTTGGAACCAAGGAAAGAGCACTATTTGGAGCCATAAGACATGGGCTTGAGTAGAATCTCTGCCACTGACCTCTTTGTGTGATGTTGGGCAGGTCATTGCACCTCTCACTGTCATAGACAATTCTCTTAGACTCTTTTAAGTTACTGAATTGCTGGAAAGAGTTTCTATACATGAGAGTTAATCTCATTGATGAAATCAAATATCCTAATAACCTCTCCCAGATGGTATTTGGTTCTTAGCATCATTCACTCCCTTACTCAGTCCCCTCCCTGAGGGAACACCAGAGCAAGATCATTCAGTATTTAGTTGACTTACTATTTTATTTCCTATCTTCTGCATTGTGATTTTCTCCCTTCTCCCACATCATTGTCATTAAGTATTCTTCTCTGTGCTGGGCCTGTTACCTACATATGTTTCTGTTTTTCCCCCCAGGGCTTGGAATTGGGACACAGAATAGGGAAAAAATAAAGCAAGAAGGTTCAGAAAAGCCTGCAACAATTCCAGGAAAGGTAGGCAAGGATATTTCCTTGATGCCCAACAGGGAAGATATACAAGAGACTCAGTGGGGGGCTGAAAGGCAGTGGGGCCCTGCTGCTTCAGAGAGTAAAGCAATATTCCCCCCTAATAAAAGTGAAGTTTGGGCAATAAAAGTCTGTGATGTCCGAGAGAAACCTGAGCCTGAGGAGACACCAAAGACATGCCCTGAGTGCGGAATAAGCTTTTCAGAGTTGTCATGCCTTCAGGCACACAGAAGAACCCATGATTCCCTCAAACCATACCAGTGCCCGTGTTGTGGGAAAAACTTTGGCCGTGGCTCCATCCTCAAGCTGCATCTGAGAACACACACAGATGAACGTCCGTATGTGTGTTCTGAGTGTGGGGAATGCTTCCGGCAGAGTGGTCACCTGAGAAAACACCAGCAGATCCATTCTGCAGAGATGGCCTTCTTATGTGCTGACTGTGGTCAGGGTTTCCAACGACGGTCCAGCCTCCTGCGACATTTACATGCCCATGCAAGGGAAACAGAACAGGACATCAAACCAGCCTTCCTGTGCTCCATCTGTGGGCAGGGTTTCCAGCGGCATGCCAATTTCCAACGCCACCTGGGTCTCCATGCTGAGGAGAAGCCCTTTCAAGGTGTTGAATATGGCAAAAGTTTTCTTCAGGGTACCAGCAACCACCAGCAGCAGGAAGCTCTCATTGAGCAGAAGCCTCATGTGTGTGGTGAATGTGGCAAGGCCTTCCAGAGGAATGAGCATCTGGTCACTCATCAACGGATACATACGGGAGAACGGCCCTTCTCCTGTGAGGACTGTGGACGGGCCTTTAGCCAGAGCTCCCAGCTAGTCAGTCATCGCCGTGTACATACTGGTGAAAAGCCCTATGCCTGTTCTGAGTGTGGAAAGCACTTTGTGCGCCGGGCTGGCCTTGCACGCCATATGCTGACTCATGGTGGAGAGAGGCCCCATCACTGTGGCCAATGCAACAAACGCTTCAGCCAGAGCCAAGACCTGAGCCGACACCAGCGCAGCCACACTGGTGAACGGCCGTGCCGCTGTAGTGAGTGTGGGGAACGCTTCAGCCAGAGCGCTCACTTAACTCGTCACCAGCGTATACATACAGGGGAAAAACCTCACCCTTGTGACACATGTGGCCGTTGCTTCCGCAACAGCTCCAACCTGGTACGGCACATTCGGACCCATACTGGAGAGAGGCCCTACCACTGCAAAACCTGTGGAAGGAGCTTCCGCCGGAACGCCCACCTTCAGCGCCACCTTGGGACCCATCCAGCAACTGATACTCCAGAAACAAGCAAAGACGTTAAAGAGCTGGGGGGTCCAATCAAGGAGGCTCCTCAGCAGTGTCAACAGTGTGGAAAGAGCTTTAGCCGGGGCTGTAACCTGCTTAGGCATCAAGCCATCCACACAGGTGCCAGACCCTATACCTGTAGCCAATGTGGGCGGAGCTTTAGCCGAAATTCTCACCTGATGAGACACCTGAGGACCCATGCCAAGGAGACCCTGTATTAGGCATCCCTGAAACCATTACTTGGCCAAGACCCTGAGCCACCCAGAGGGATCTGTACTGGGCTTGCTTACTGCCAGTCTTCAAACAAGACAGAGAAAGTGGCCTTATCAGGCCATCTCTTTCCCCATTTATGCATCATTCTCATATTCTTCCCTAGGTTTTTCCTCAGCCTTTCCTCTCAAAATGAGTAAAGCAAAATAATTGCCTTTTTAAAGTTTTCTTGGACTTGTTTTTCTTTTCCTTTTCACCCGCAACTATCACAGATACTTCTCACTCCCTCCTCAACCCAGGAGGATAAGTAGATATCCACTGGGAAAGGGGAATCCTGAATGTTTATTCAGTGATCCTGCTTTTGCAGACCCTAAGACTTTGGCCTTTGGGCTCTTGAAGTCTCATGCACCCTCAGTAACTCCTGCTTTGGAGCTGGTTATTAACAGATCCTAGAAATGAACACTACCCTGCTGGCAAAAGGTTTAAAAACAGTCTAACCAAGCTCTGTACATCACACAAAACTTAATGATTCAGGGAGTCCCTTGTACCTTCCTGTAACTAAATGTTCTGGGTACTCCATCCAGATTCCTACCTTAATTATTCTAGGGACAGGATGTCCAACAAACTCCCATGTATCTTTCAGGAGAGACCTACTCAGCATTTGTGCACCCAGACAAGATTTTGTAAAAAAAAAAAAAAAAAAAAAATTTTTTAGACAAAATATTTCTTAAAATTGTTCTATATTCTGAATTTAGCCCCCCAAAATTGTATATATAAAGTAGAACCCAAAAAAAGTATATGTGAAACTGAACATCTAATACATATAATTTACTTTTTAAAAGTATATAATAAATTCAACATGCTACTTTTAAAGCTAATTTGCTTGTGTTTTCCCCTGAATTTCCTTCTGCGCATTTTAAAGAATATTACCAGTGACCTTCTCTCTTTCCCCCTCTTTTTTTTTCCAATACTATTGATAGTTCCTCTCTAGAGGCAGCTGGTGGAACTGTGGTTAAAGGTCCGGGCTTGGAGTCAGAAAGACTTGAATTCAAATTTGGCCTCAGACACTTAAAGCAGTGTGGTCATAAGCAAGTCATTTAATCTCTGTTTGCCTCAACTTCCTCGACTATAAAATAGGGATAATAACAGTACTTACCTTGCAAAGATGGTTGCGACAATCAAATGAGATAATTGTGAAAAGCACTCAGCACAGTGCCTGGCACACAGTAGGCACCATAAAAATGCTTATTATCTCTACCCCCAAATAATATTTTTTAGAAAAAAAAACAGTTCTTGTAACAAATAAGCTTCATCAGACAAAACAAATCCACACATTTGCCATGTCCCAAAATGTAAAACATGGGAATTTATAAAAAGGAGTATTAAAAAGCAGATCTACTCAGTATTCTACCTCCATAAAGTTGACTTTGTACCTTTGATCAGGTGCCCTGTACTTTCCCTTAGGAGCTTCCCACATTTCTTCCATACGAGCAAATATATATCTCCTGTCCTTCCATGTTGTCTCAGACCCTTAAATATAGCCAAATTTCCAACAGTACCTTCCTGTGGACCCTTCTGCAGAGGATTCCCTCAACAACCATTTATTAAACATCTCTGTACTTGATGATGGGGAAAAATAGCAAGAAAGATTATTTCTGTCCTGATTGAGTTTAGTATCTAGTAAGAGAATGTGACTCCCATGCAGATATAACTCAACATAGAACAAGATTGGGAATGGGACAGTGCATTTCAAGGCCTAAGAAAGAAGGTCATACTCGAGCAGGAATCAGGAAAAAATTCAGGGAAGAAGCATTTGAGATGGCTCTTGAGAAAGGGTAGGAATTAACCAGGTGGAGATTGAAGGAGATTTCAGAGATAGGGAACAAGATAAGCAAAGGCAGGGGAAAGTAGATAGGGATGGTAGCAAGGCATGATAGCACCAGATTGTGGAAGAGTTTGAGTGTTAATAGTGAACTATGTTCAGTAGATGATAGGAAGGGTTCTATCTGTTGAAACTGCCCTAGGAATTAAAGGCAATTTTACAGAAGAATTAAATCAGACTGCTGCCAAACCACAGGGCTGTATTTGGCATATTTTGTTTTGACTCAAGGAAGCTGTATTACTTAACTTGATGTATCTAAGGCGGGGAGGGGGCAGAGAGGAGGAGACTGAGGCAACAAGGGAAGGATATTAAGGCAACACTTTCCCCCTAGGGCAACATCTCCCAAAAAGGGGGCTAGCAACAGATATCTCCAAAGTGGGATAAAAAAGGCTAATAACTAGGAAAGGGGATTTCTAGTATGGAAGGTTCTAGATATCCATCAATGAGCATTTATTAAGCATGAGAAATACAGGATAAAAATAGAATGACCAAGGGTCGCTAAAGGAGTTTATGTGCTATCAGAAGAAACAATATCTACAGAAGTAAATATAAAACATAGACATGGTAATTGGGTGATTTGTATTCCCAGAATTTAGCACAGTGCCTGGGAAAAGGTACTTAAAAAATGCTTGTTGACTCATATCTAAAGCATTAGGAAAGTCTTCATTGGATATGGCATTTAAACTCAACTTTAAAAGCAAACTAGGAATTCTAAAAGACAGGAAGTTCCTGAGTGAATGTATTCCAGGCATTCCAATATGGTATATGTGGAACAGCAGATAAGCCAATTTGGCTGGTATATCAAGTACATGAATGGAGTAATATGTAATAAACCTGGAAAGAAGGAAGGGCTTTAAATGCCAAATAGAAGTTTGTATTCGATCCTATAGGCAATAGGAAACCACTACAGCTTTTGAGCAGAGGAATGCCATGGTCAAACCTGGGCTTCAGGAATATCATTTGGGCAGTTGTGTGGGAGATGGATTAGAGAAGGAAGAGATTTAAAATAGGGAGACTAATTGGGAGTCTTTTTCATAGTGTAAGAGAGAGGTGATAAGGACCTGAGTTAGAGCAGTTATGCTATGAATGAAGAAAAGGTGAAAAATCAGAGAAATGTCAAAGTAGGCAGGAGTTTCCAGCCAGGAAAGGGGAAATAGTGAGAGTACAAAAGGCTAGGTTCAGAAAGATCACCAGCTTTCTAGTTTACCACAGAAAGCACTGAAAGTTTGGGAGCAGAAGAATTATGTGGCCAGGTTTTTGTGTAAGGATGATAAATTTGGCAATATTATGGAGCCCTTTTTTTTTCTTTTGGTCATTGACCTTAGGATTTACATGTGCTTTGCATGTGGAAATCTTTGGGTTAAAGAATAAGGCCCTTTCAGCTATGTTATTTGCATGATTCCAAATCACTTTCCAGAATGATTGTACTAATTCATACCTCTCAAAACCACTGCTTTGTTAGGCACACATTAGTGTGCCTGTCTTTCCACAACCCCTCCAACATTGACTATTCCCATCTTTTGTTGTCTTTACCCATTTGCTGTTTGTGAAGTGAAACCTCAAGTTTGTTTTTATTTTGCATTTTCCTCATTATGAGTGATTTGGATGTTGTTAATAGTTTGTAGTTCTTTTGAGAAATATTTGTTCATTTCCTTTGACTACTTGTCTGCTGGGGAATGGCTTTTGATCTTATATATTTCTGTTATCCATATTTCTATTACTTGTCTCTCTACCATGGATACCAAACTCTCACAGATACTGGATAAAAAGATGCTTTTCCCAGTCAACCTTTTCTCATCCTAGATGCATAAATTTTATTCGTGCAAAAGCTTTTCAATTCACTTAATCAAAATTAACCTGTTTTATCTTTTGTCATTCCCTCTATCCCTTGTTTCATTGTGAATTTTATCTCCTTGTAGCTCTGAAAGATCTATGATCTGCTTCTCTTCTAGTTTTTTTTTTTATGGTATTATCTTTAATATTCAGGTCAAGTATCCACTTTGAATTCATGTGGAATACGTTATAACACATTGTTCTGATCCTAATTTCTGCCAAACTCCTTCCTAGTTTTTCTAAAAGGTTTGGTGGGTTTTTTTTTCCATAAAATAGGAAATTTTTTCCTGAGTAATTTATTTTTGGAAGTTTGACAAACACTACATGATTGGGTTCCATTATTCCTACTTCCTTCTTGTCTAGTGAGTTCCATTATTCCCAATTCCTCTTTGTCTAGTCTGTTCCATTCAACTGCTCGTCTGTTTTTTAACCAATACCAAATGGTTTTGATGAATGTGTTTTATAATAATAGTTTGAGGTCTGGAAGGGCTCTTCTCCTTTGTCCCTTCCTTTTTTCATTATTTCCCTTGATATCCTAGACCAGAGGTGGCAAACCCAAGGCCTGCTAACATCAGAATTCCTGAGGGAAGCCAGAACAAAATTAAAAGTTAATTGGGAAATATTTAACAAAACAATAAAAAATACAATACAATGTAGATATCGCAGTTTTCTGAGTCAAGATGGAGCCCACAGGGATCTTTTTCCATTTGAGTTTGATACCACTATCCTAGATTTTTTTGTTCCTCCAAATGAATTATGTTATTATTTTATTATTTTATCTAGCTCTCTGTATTGAGAGTTCTCTAGTAGATTCATTCATAAATATTTTATCCATTTTGTAGTTATTGGGACTGAGATTTTCCTTTCTGTTATTGCCTCTCAAATTTTGTTATTCTATATCTTAGATCTTTTCTCAATGAGTTTGGTATACAATAATACATTGGTGATGCCATGAACTCTTTGTTTCCTTGTTTCTAATACTGCTGTAACAACCTTTTTTAAATGAAGAACGCTCAGTTGCAGATTTGAGAAGGTCCATAAATTGTTGAGCGTATGATAACCCAAAATACATTATGTATCAGTTTTAGATACTTTTATTTCATTGGAATATTTTCTTCTCCATAAATGTTTATTTCTGGGGGCAACTAGGTGGCACAGTGGATAGAGCTCTGGCCTTGGAGTCAGGAGGACCTGAGTTCAAATTCAATTTCAGACACGTAACACTAGCTGTGTGACCCTGGGCAAGTCACTTAACCTCAATTGCCTCACCAAAAAGCAAAAAAAAAAAATGTTTATTTCTGGTGGCTTGATCAAGATGACCTTTACACTTATTTGTTGAAGGAAGTCCTCATGCCTTCAAACGTTTTGGCACTTAGGCTATCTTGTACTATTTCACATATAAACATGAATGGGTCTCTTTGTATTCTTTATAGGTGATATTATACAACTTTCATTGGGAGTTGATATTTCCAATTTGGTTTCTTCTGGAGCTTTGATTATATTATAAATCTGTTCATGAAAAGCTTGAATGAAACTTTTTATTTTCTTTGTCATCTGTTAGCACAATCCTTAATTCATCCAAAGCCTTTTTTTTCCCCCCATTGTTGAAAAATCAGAAAGTTAATCTCTTTGCATCTTTGGCTGGGGCAACTCTGTTCCAGTTGTTTACCACCAAGATTGGCTCTGAGCCACAGAATAAAGTTCTTACATCCTTTTTGAGTAAAATTGGTTCCCTTCACTGCATTAGAGATGGTATACACTCTTCATTCCTGTACTCTCAATGTTCCCACAGGTTCATTTCAATGAAGAATTCCATCAGGAGCAGATTTGAAGAACTTCATCCTCATCTGTGCTTCCTGGCTTCCCTGGCTTCCTTTAAGTCCCAATTAAAATCACACTTTCTACAGGAAGACTTTCCTGATCCCCCTTGATTCTGATGCCTTCCTTCTGTTGATTATTTCCAATTTATTCTGCATATAGCTTGTTTGTGCATAAGT